CAAAGATAGGCGGTTTCATCCTCCTAGATGTTGGAGATGCTTAAGTAGCTGTCAGGTCCTGATATGGAGCCTGAGAAGTAATCAGGGATGCTCTTCCCCTTTCCAGGGCATCCATCACTGTTAACAACTATTGCATACAGTGGGGCTTTTACTGGTTGTTCCTGATATCAGGAAATGTAGTAGGTGCTAAGCTGACTACTCAGGGTGCAGCAGAGCTTGACTGAGGCTCCCAGGGAGACAGATGCAGAGGATGACTGAGTCATCACAGGCCAGGAGGCGAAATCTAAAAATACATTAAAAATAATTATATTCTGAAAAAGCACACAAAGAAAGAATATTTATGGAAGGAGGCAGGATGATGAGGACAATGCTGACCTGTGCAGTACAGGTAAAGGCTGAATAAGAGGACTAGGGTCCAGGCCAGGGTATACACACCCCAGAGTTCTGCTGAAGCAGACAGGACCCAGGACTCTCTTATTAAGCCTCAAAACCCAGAGGCTTCATAAAAATCTGTGCCACTTACATAGGCCAACAAGCTCTTCCCTGTGGGGACAAGTGCATGGAGTACTGAATACATGGCATACATTAAGGGTGTCTGAGTTGCAAACCACTCCCTTATGCTAAGCGTTTAAGAGGCAAACTGCTTACTCTGTAGGCACAGCCCTGAGCATGAGGCCATGTGTTGCAGTTTCTGTGCTTGCTCCATAGCCCATTCCTTAATTGGTCACTGAAAAGACAGTTGGCCAGAAATTGTATTGGTGGCTGCCTATAATCTGCCTAGCTACTGCTTGAGTATATATGTACATGGCAACTGTGCAATAAAATCAGACCTGCTTCCAGCTTGGTCCCTGAAGGTCCTGATTTGCAACTCTGAAGCCACACTCTTCTCTATCCTGTTCAGTGGATCTCCTCCATGGAAAAGAGAGAACCCACACACCTTCCTGTCATGTGTCAGTTTGCATGTAGTGTGCCAAACCTGAGACTTTATAGGTACCTAGAGAGTTTCTAATTTGTGGAAAGAATGAGTTCTGTG